TTTTTTTTGTTTCCTTTTGTTTCTATATTGAGCTCCTTCCTTTTTTTGTTTCTTAAAGGCCTCAAAAAGGTGCACAACTCAAAGGATGAATCGGGGCTTTTGTTACTAGCAGCCTATCAACAGCGTTTGTTCCCATTTCTTTTGGTTTATCTGCGAAAAACGCCAAAGATAACACAGCTTGACACACAGAAAATAGGGTTTTTTTGCAGCAACATGGCCGATTCCTCAGAGCTCTTAGCTGAAAACGTGGCACACCTCAGCAAGAAAAGGAAAACATCCTGACACGGGATGCTCCCGATGGAAGGGAAACGGGGAGAAATGGAGCAAAAATCAAGTGTAAAGACTTGATCCTGCTGAAACAGCTTTTGCCTTTTCTAAACGCTATTTTCACGAATGTTTGAGCACAGTTTATCGGAGTGGAACCGTTTGACTGTCTTTCCCCGGATCAGAGACGGGGCCACAGAAGCAACAGGTTAGCCAGTTAACCAGACTTTTTGGAGTTACCCCACGCAGAAATACAGAATCAGAGATCCCTCTTGAGTTCGGTTTTATGAAGTCGGCTACTGCCTGTCGGTGCTTTAGATCAGTGTTTTTCAACCACTGTGCCTCGGCACACTAGTGTGCCGTAGAAAATTAAGGAATTAATTATCTGCAAATAATAGGCCATTTTTGAGTGTCTGTGCTGTACTAGTGACCGGTGGCGTAATCATGTAATAATTCCTTATGACTAGATTTTGTATTTCATTTTGTACATTGAAGTGGACATGTTAAGAGCAATTTGAAAGAAGAAATATGAAATATGATAAAAAGACAAGACAATTAAGATAAGATGAGAATAACTATAGTGTTGGACCACAGCGTAGCCCAATGGCTACAGCGGGCGTACCATGTGTGGAGCCTCTCTAGGGTTCGATTCAAGCTACTGTCATTGGTCATTAAAGGCCAGTAGAGCCGACAAAATCTTTAAAAATAAAAATAATAACTATAGTGTTAATGTAGGCGGCTACAGATTTGTTTGACATTTTTGGTTGGTGGTGTGCCTGG